TATTTGTAAGAAAGATAAAGGATTCCCCCACGTTTGTCAAATCTCTTGTTTTTCCCCCGCCTGTTCTCCCCTGAAGAAGATAGACTGCAAGACCACATTACCAGGTTAAACTCAGCACGCAGTAAATACAACATGAAGATCAATGTAAACAAAACCGAAACAATGCAGGTTAGTAGAACCCCTGCTCCACTACACATACAGCTAAATGGTTCTGCCCTGAATCAAGTTAGGGAGTTTAAATATCTAGGAAGTATGATCACAGAAGATGGTAGAATTGACAGAAAAATAGAAACCAGATGTCAGAAAGCAAGTGCACTTATATACCAATTGTCACCATTATTAAGACATCCAAGCATAACTATGAGTGCAAAGAGACAGATTATTAATAGCATATTCATTCCAACATTAAGCTGCCAGTACCAAACATGGACACTATCTAAAGCCCATATACGCAAAATCACCACCTGCGAGATGAGGTGCCTGAGAAAAGCAGCCAACCTAACCATCTGAGATCGAGTGTATAATGAAACTATCAGACAAATTGTGGGAACAACACCTTGTACTAGATTTATCGAGAAACAGCAGATTAAGTGGTTTGGCCATCTTGTTAGAATGCCGCAAGATCAAATACCATCACAAGCACTACATCTCAGAAGATCATCGACAAGAGCAAGAGGACGGCCGCGGAAAACATGGATCGACAACATTAAAGACACTTTACGCCTTCACGGCATGACAATAGCCAGTGGCAGCCAAAGTGCTCTGGATAGCAAATTATTCCTCCCTACGCCGCTTAACGACAGAAGTGGTTTATGATGATGATGATGACGAAACAGATACCAAACTTGTAGGAACATGCAATTTATGAACCATATATAGAGCAGGAGCAGCTGCAAAATTAACTCGTGAGATATCAGATTAAACATGGACACAAAGACAGACAAAGAATTATGCGTTTAGGAAAAGGTACTTACTATACAAGAAGAGAGAATAATCATAACATTGAAAACACACTTGAACTAGCGACAGCATCTGTCGTCACGAAATAGTTGTGGTAAAGTATTATAGCTTTGAAGCCGTCAGTAATAAAATGAGTAAGTTACAAATGAAAGAAAAAAGAAAATATTTAACAATGTTTAATGTGCCTGTACAATGTTTAATGTGCCTGTACAATGTTTAATGTGCCTGTACAATGTTTAATGTGCCTGTACAATGTTTAATGTGCCTGTACAATGTTTGATGTGCCTGCGCCAACTGACAAGGAAGAAGATGGTGTTAAAGTAGCCTGGTATAATGATATCAAGGATTTCATAAAAGAAATGCCTAAACAGAACATACTGATCATTTTAGGAGACGTCAACGCAAATATAGGTAGCGAACACACTAATAAAATGTAACAGGCATGAAAAGACTACATATAGTTTGGAATGATAAAGAATGAAAAGTAATCAACCTAGCAGTAGCCAACAGACTGCAGAAAAATAATAAATTCGTGTCATTGAAATAAAGAGAAAACAAATTCGTACATGCTATATAGCGCCAGCTTAAACATTAGGATGTCAACTGAGGACAATTAATAAACAAGACTAACTTTCCTTGAAGCCTCGGAGAAAAGAATTAGAATTCCTTAGACAGCACGCGCGCGCGCACGCACACTCACACGCACACACACAAACACACACACACACGCAGGCACGCGCATACACACACACACAACAGGGCGAGCATGCTGTTTTGAAAGAGGCGAGAGCTTGAAGACAACTTATCACAGACATCAATAAGAGACAGCCACAATTTTTGGCCAGATTATAAAGAATGAAACTGAAAGACGTTGTGAAAACTGGTCAGATCTGTGAAGAATGAAACTCAAGAAATTTTTTGACATGGAGGGGTGTCAGCATACAAACTGTTTCATGCTGTTGAAGATCACAGATTGCGCAGAAGCATGATCGCCCACGCCAGTCGGCAAGGTACTTGACGATGATGATGATAATGGGTTACCGATTCATCTGTCCAATACACTGGGAGATAAGCACCTGTATATTCCGGCATTAATTAAGCCACGGTCATAATCAATATCGCCTTATATAAAAGCGTTTTTCGTGACTCTCGCAATATTTTCTTCGAGGTAACACGGCAACAGTATCTTGTATTCGGTGTTTGTTGTGTTGGTAAACGATTGTGCCTTTCTCTAACGTTTCGGAGTGGTTAATTTTTTATAGTTATCGATAATCATTATTATCGAGTGCTGGAGTCATATTCAAAGCCATTTTTTCAGCTATGACTTTGCAAAAAGATACTTTGACGGGGGAAAAAGGGACTTTCCAGTCTATTAGAAGTGAATAAAGTATGTCCTTGGCGTAGCGACGATACCCTTGCCTACAGGCTGTAAGACCGTGGGATCAAATCCACACCAATTATTATATTTTTTCAGAAATTTCCTTAAACTAACATCTCACAGGGTCTGACCATCAAGATCGATAGGCCTGTAAACAACATCTTGTCTCAGAAACCAAAATATTTTAGCCATTTCAAGCACCACAAGTGGTGAAAAAATAATAGCAAAAGGCAGGTTACCAAGAAAGAGAGGCAGGGGTCCGCAGGATGTAAGTGACACTTTAGGTAGAAAAGTTCAGGAGGCGGGAGAGCTGGCGAAAATCGATTTTTCTTCATACAGGTGACCCAATGATCTGCAAATGACCTGCTTGCTGCAGGATTATGACCATGACTCCTAGGTTGACCCATGATAAGTACTAGGTAAAGTCTTGAGAAGAATAGGCGGCCGGCGTGGAATTGACCACGTCATCCTATAAGTGTCCATTGGTCTATAATAAAATATTTCTCTAGCGATATATGCCCAACATGCCCAAGGGAAAGTGGCCTTTTAGCGGAAATGTTAGCCTGAGCCTTAGCCGTGTCATCTCCACCGCGATGTTACGGGACATTTTTTTTTAAAGCCACCAAAGAATAACATTGTTACTGTTACAAGAAGGTACTGGGTCATTGGCCAGAAGTCGTCTGCGTAAACAAACTAAAACAAAGAAACATTGGCAGGAGAAGATCTGGGCGTTTATGGGTGGGTCGACTTCTCCTTTTTGTTAGCGTTCCCTGGCTGCAAACTACGGAAATTTCTTGTTCGTCTACTTATGAACTTTGGCCTTGTTACAGAACTTGAATTTTACATTCAGATCAGTGCAATGAAGATGACGTTGAAATGAACAATAAGGGCTTGATTGTTGAATTAGGAATCGACATCACAGCACTGGGGACACTCCCATAAATGCCCCGTCCCCATCTTTAACAGCAAACAGAGAGTTCCGTTTCCGATGGCACCAGTAACTGTCTTATTGTCTATCGGTCTCGCCCTTCTCTTGAGTTTGAGCGTCGACCAGATCCCATTGAAACTCCTCGCAGCGCCGTTCTCATCAGACTGCAATGATCTATCTGTGCCTCCGCACTGTTCACTTTCTCCCGAAGGCACCTCACAACATCTAGCTTGTCATACATCAATTCATAATCAAGTGGCCTGCTTGTTTCCCAGCACACCGGTGTAACCTGGAGAAAATATGCATAAATAAAGAGACACGAACACCATTATTACAGACAAGGTTGGAATCAGACCGTGCGTGAATTATATATATTGAAAGGTAAAGGGTGAAATTGTTTGGTCATTTAGTCAGCATGCAGCAGGGTGTTCATGAGACTTTCTACAGTAGAACATTTTCGCCTAAAACTTTTTTGTTGTAGTTTTTTTTTCCAGTGTTTTCTGTATGCTCTTTATTGATTAACATTTTTGTTAAGTACAGTTGGCAGTTGAATTCAAAATAAGAAAGAAAAAAAAAAAGCTTGGTTAAAACGTTTGCTCTGCGTGTATTAAAATAAAACTATGTTCACATACTGTGATGTTTAACTTTTTTTTTTTTAATCCTGTGCCACCAGTGACATCAATTCTTTCTACTTGACCCATTCTTGATATTAAATTTAAGACGAGATGAGGACCAAAAAAGAGATGGATTCACGGTGTAGCTGAAACCTGCAAAAGGATAAACAAAACTATCACTTGAGACAGCAGAGAAGCGCGAAACAAATACATAAAACCACAACACTGAGTTTAGCAAGGTAACATTGTGACGACAAAAGAAAGAAGAAGAAGTTACTTACCATGCATTTAATAAAAATTTAAGGTAAGGATTCGCGTATAAAGAAAATGAAGAAAGAATAAATCAGCTAACTAAGATGAAAGGAAGCTCTTTTAAAAGTATAATGCGCTGCCGAGAAAGTATCCAGGAATCTGGATGGCGAATTATCTCCGTTTCTCTATGGGAATCCCCGGAAACGAAATCTTCTAACAATGCGTGTTTTGGGAATAAAGTACAAGTGATAGGACGGGTAAAATATGATAAGGTTACCATTGTTGGTATTGTGAGGCATGGCTGAATGGAACATGCACAGTCTAAACATACACAGAGAAGATACTATATGATAACCTTACAAAATGTGGGGGGAGGGGGGGGGAAACATGGACTGGGCTGCATGATAGACAGACCATCTTTTACATGAGCTGAGGGCTTATGTTCCTAGCACGCCAATCTCAGAACAGAACGACTAGGCCAATGGAAATTCCCGTTTTTGTGGAAGTCCGAGAGGCTCTCTATGTGTATCAAGTAGATTCACAAATTAAACTACAGTTGAATAATTTGCAACAATTTTTTTTTTTTTTTTTTTTTTTTTTGTATGACATATATATTTGTAGATAAATAAGTGTGCTATGAAAAAAAAAATATTAATAAAAACAATAAAAAATACCTGAAGCCATAAGTAAGGATGATTTCTGAAGATCACCGTGGTTACCGGTAGATGGTCACCAAAGAGATCAACGCCAATGTTCGCCTCTAGTCCAAGCAAGATAATTAAATTGGTCGCTTACTTACAAAATAAATGTTATAAACTATTATTTTATTGGCTTTAAAAATGACTTTTCAGTCTCAGCGTCACCAGCTATGAGTTTATGTATGTTCGGGTACACACTGGCGCTAGCAACCTGCTGGCTGGGTGTTCAAGCGTTTGTTAGAGTTGATCTTAGCGGAGATGACTGGGTTGTATCAGAAAAGACGAAAGGTATTTAAATTATGTTGTGTAGATTATACTTATTCAGAATAGCTTCCTTTTTATTGTTGTTTTGTTGTTATTCTCCCCCTCCTCATCCTCCTTTTTCTTCTTCTTCTTCTTCTTCTTCTTCTTCTTCTTCTTCTTCTTCTTCTTCTTCTTCTTATTATTATTATTATTATTATTATTATTATTATTATTATTATTATTATTATTATTATTATTAATATTATTATCACTTGGTGGGGGCAAACAAAAATAGTCCTACTGCCTACCCAAAAGCATGTGGTAGAGTCGACTAATTAGAAGCTTTTATAGTGGTCGGAGTGCATCTGTCTGAGAGGCAAGAAACCAGTAGTCTGCACACAAATGACTCAGATCTGTAAAATAGATATGCACGTGACATACGTGTTCTGGAACAGGACTAGAGTCCAGAAGTGGACGAATATCCAGAACTTTCCGCCGGAGAAAAAAACCACGTTCTGCGAAGGATTTGTTTTAAACTGTTCATGATTAAAGTTCTGACACACATTAATTTTAAATGTGTTTACAAGATATATGTCGGCTCTGTAACTAAGCCGATGCAAACGCTTCGTAATGCCGGGTTCGATCCCAGCTGCGGGCCATCCGCCTTGCGTTGGTTTCGACAGTGGTATCAAGAAAGCCGACCGTCCAGAAGCAATGGCAAACTACTGGACGTAAATTTGCCTAGAAAAACCACACAGGGGTTGGTTCTGCAACGTCCTGTTAAGGATACACAACCAACCTTTACAAGATAGATATATATGTAGGAGTAAAGTTAAGTATAGAACCATTGTCCGATACTTTAATCGCATTGGACACACAATATAGGACTAGACCTATATTTTAGACACCAATCTCCACTCGGTGGATGATGAGGTCAACATCATGCCGGTCACTTTTACCTTCCATGGCATGACCTGGTATCCATTTAAGGTTGGGACGACCTGGAGGCCAAGGTCAATTTTTAAACAATAAATAAATTCCAGCTTTGTTCGGATTTTACTCACGACTTTTAGATCCACAGGCGCGTGTCTAACCGCTAGACCACGTCGGTTACCGTATATCGGATTAGCCGTCGGGAAGAAAAAGTCAGATGTTTCAAGTTTGCTTTTATCATACGTTAAAAGTTGTAATATTGCGTATTACATATGCCCGCGTTTCAACACAAAGAGCCAACTAGATTCGTTTGTAATGAAAGAGTTAATCACTCTAAATGCTGATCAACATCAATAAATCTGTTTCATAAGTTGTATCATCGTCTGCTGTAATTTCTTCTCTCCCAGGCATCAGAGTACCTGGCAAGGTTCCTGGGTCCATGTACACAGCCCTTCAAGATGGCGGCATCATCCAGGACCCTCTGTACAGAGACAACGATGTGACCTATTCCTGGGTGGGTCGGGGTGACTGGACCTACTCGAGAAATTTTTCAGGTCAGTAACAGCAGACCCCCCTCCCCTTTTCCGCCCCCACCACCCTTCTCCGGCCCACGTCCTACACCATCCCCTTCTTCTTCTTCTTCTTCTTCTTCTTCTTCTTCTTTTTCTTCTTCTTCTTCTTCTTCTTCTTCTTCTCCTTTTTTTTTCTTCTTTTCTCTACTACCGGAATGCCTCGTAGCGTCAGGATAGGAAGAGATCTTTGGAATGGGCTTTTCTCTTCGCTTCGTATAAAGTATTTTTCAGTGTCTTTAATATTTTAGCTGTCCATGTACTGCGTGATCGACATCTAGTCTATTAGTATTACCGTTGTATCTTTATAACATTGCTCTCTATGGTGCCTTGTCTGATGCCAATCTTGTTACATGGCTAACTCGTTTGATGTGTTGTCTACCCGTAGAGCTCAGAATTGTTTCTGTGCCGACTCTCCCCCTGATATTATCGTTCCTAAATTGATCTTTCCTTGCTACACCTAGCATAGTACTTAAACATTTCATTTCTGTCGTGACTATTTTCCTTCTTTAGGTAATTAGTTAGTTAGTTGGGTTATCATCATCGCACTCCGGACATGTCCATAGGCGCTCAGATCCTCCCCTCAGTATGAACCCCAACGTCCGATGGCTAATAGTACCAGTTCTATGTTGATTAACTAACAAGTCTTCTGGCGTGTCTGGTGTGCGTCTCGTTTTTTGCTATGCCGATCTTATTTCCGAAGTCTACCATTCTGGCGAGTGATGTGGATTCACTGCTCCCAAAGTCCTCTATCCTTCCCATTTCTCCGAGGGCATTAATAATATCAGCATGATCCATAGGCTGACTGTCGGTAGTGATAGCCGATCCAACCAACCTGTCAGCTCTTTCCTTCCTGAAAGATGTAACCTAAAGCTTCCACTTCGGGAAGGCTAGTTGAACGTTACGATTTTTTTCCTTCATCAATCAAAGCATTGATTGATTGAAGGAATGGATTCGTCGAGAGACCGAGTTTCTCTTAGGTGGGCTAGGGTGGGCTTGACGTTCTGCAAAGAACGTGCACTCGAGAATGATTGCCGATTCTGTCAGTATCCAATGTTTTATGTGTTGTTTCTTCTCTTAGTTACCAGTGATGTGGTCAAGGCAGGTCAGGTGTGGCTCATCTGCGAGGGACTGGACACGATAGCCACTGTGATTGTTAACGGACAGGAAGTTGGACAGTCAGAGAACATGTTTGTATGGTCAGCATTCAACCTTAGTGGCATTCTGCAGGTAGTCAGTCTCTTGTGATTGTAGTTTGTCTGTCTAAAGGTCTGTCTGTGTTTTTCTCCTCCTCCTCCTCCTTCTTCTTCTTCTTCTTCTTCTTCTTCTTCTTCGTCTTCTTCTTCTTCTTCTTCTTCTTCTTCTTCTTCTTCTTCTTCTTCTTCTTCTTCTTCTTCTTCTACTACTACTACTACTACTACTACTACTACTACTACTGCTGCTGCTACCACTACTATTACTACTCCTGCTGCTGGTGCTGCTACTCTACTGCTGCTACTACTACTACCACCGCTGCTGCTACTAGTACTACCTCTGCTGCAACTAATACTGCTACCGTTGCTGCTGCTCCTGCTACTACTGCTTCTGCTACCACTACAAGTTCTTCAATTTATCTCTTATTGGAGGATCAGCTCCGAACCAAATCCCACTAATTGTTTTTTTCTATCGTTGACTATCAGAAGGTCTCCGCGGAATATAAGGTCATGGATCGAGAAGCTGTCGGGACAAAACTAAAGCTAAGCCAAAAGACTTTTTTTATAACATTTAAGCTGAAGATTTTGTTTAATCTGCTCTTTTCGGCACAATAGCACTGTGGTCGATTGTGCGTTGAAAAGAGCTTGATATCCATTAGATTCAAGTTTATGTAGAGACAATCTTGGTGACTTGATGTCTTGGTGTCATGAAGTCTTGATGTATTGCTCTCTATCTGCCTGCTTCTCGTCCGTCTTTAACCCTTTTTTTCTCTTATGGTTTTGATAGGAGTACTAATGTTTTTCCATATGGTTGAAACGTTTCACTGGCCCTTATAAAAGTATGCCTCTCTCTGTCTGTTATTCTCTCCCGGCTGCTGCCCAATGACCTAACTACCATTGCGACTTCAAACGTCACTTCCTAGATAGCCGACCAACAAGAATATTCTAGATACCCCGTTCAACCTTCAGGTTTGGTTTGGTTTATTCAACGGATCAACATCATGGCACAAAGGTCGTAACCGATAAGTGCTCTGTTCTACTTTTAACTCAAGCCTGAGTCTGAAGAATTTTAGCGCAGTGCATGAACTCCGTAGCACCTGCGAGGATCCTGAAACACTTTTGAATAGATTTTTAATTTCAAAATTTGCCCAGGCAGCGCGGTTAGACTACTCTTTTCGATTTCCAACTGCCAAGGAATTTTTTTATGTGCGCAACAATACGCACGGGTGTCCGATCTTACTATCTAAAGACCAGGGGAAATTACTAGATGTCTGGGTGAAACAATTATAGCCTTCACCCGGGCCTGAGCCCGGGACATCCAGCACTCGAGGCGGACGCCATACCCTGAGAACACTCAGTCCCCAGTTTAACCTTCAAAGAAGTGATAATAATTGCTCTGGTAACGCCAACACCGGGGTCAGGTGTAACCCGCAGTCCTACAGACAAGGATGTGATCTCCGACAAGGCTTTACACTGCGTCTATGTTCATAATGTCCTAACTATTTCATTCTTTCTCCAGGTGGGTAATAACTCCATTGAGGTTAACTTCAAGTCTGCTGTGAAAGAAGCTGCGGCAAGGACAAACAAGTCGGACTACGATATTCCCCCGGCGTGTCCTCAAGCGGCGCAGCATGGCGAGTGTCACGTGAACCAGATTAGAAAAGAACAGTGCTCGTTCAGCTGGGACTGGGGCCCCTCGTTTCCCACACAGGGGATCTGGTGAGTATCTCAACATGCCTGTTTGTCTGTTAGCGGCATGGTCGTATTTAGGCTTTGTGCTGCATGAGCGGCGACACAATGAGGCATCATTTTTGGGGGCAACAAAATTCTAAGTGCCGCAAAATATCACTTCTTCTTCTGCCTCTCTCTCTCTCTCTCTCTCTCTCTCTCTCTCTCTCTCTCTCTCTCTCTCTCTCTTTCTTTCTTTCTTTCTTTCTTTTTGTACCCCACCAGGAAATCATACAAGCGATAAACAGCCGGTGACACAAAGTGCCACCATGCGGATGAGGATCACCCTTGGAGAGGTACTAGAAACCCCTTTCAGCCGTTAGACCCTATTTATGGCCCCGTTATATTCAGGGGATGCCCGGCTCTCTAGCGAAGTTGGTTAAACCTGACTTTCGCGACGGCCGGGTGACGAACTCCTTGTGGTCCGGGTTCACTCCCGGGGGTAGGCAGAAAAGCCACATTTCTCCCAGATTAACGGTACCTATAATGGAATCAATGCCGAAGGGTTGCGATATCCATAGTGCCGAGCCAAAGGGTTTACAACTCATGGTTTCTGGATAAAAAAAAAAAATATTCAGGGGCCCCCGGCAAAAGCCAGGGTGGAGCTTCAAATAACGAAAAATTGCATCCATGGAGACGATTAGTATAATCTTCTGCCTTTCTAACTACTAATGAAGCATAGGTTCTCAACCAACTCACGCCAAGTCGTTCAATCCTTCGCTATCGCCTGCTGCTTTCCCCATCCCTACAACTTTACTCTGCAGCTGTCTTCTCCATGTGTTTCCCCGTCCCTACCTCTTTGTCCTGTGGCTTACAGAGCAGAGACATTCTATAGTTCGTTCAACATCTCATGAACACACTTGCAATCCATTTTCTCGAAAACTGCTGGTTAGATCGCAACGATTTTTTGCATGCAACCTTAGAATATCCATATATAATTAAAATATATATATATATATAGTTATGCTGTTCTCAGGCTTTCTCAGCGTGTGTCCTATCCAACGCCAGAGCCTTTTCTTGATCTCTTGGTCCACCGGAACTTGTTTAGTTCCCTCCCAACGCTCTACACCAGCGATTCCATCATACCATTCAATTCCCCCTACACTGAGCAAGCACTAGTTAATCAATGTATGTAGTTTAGTGGTAACTTCCCCAGTTGTTCTCCGTGTTTCCACTTCATACAATATAGCCAGCGGTTGTAAAATGTGAATATCTTTATTGCTTTTATCATTATGAATCCGGCTTGTATTGCGCATCATTGCTCTATTAGGTTCCAAGGCTGGATTGAGACTCGATGAGATCCTAAGCTAAAGTTGATAGAAGTTGATAGAATGGTTAGTTGCGTATCCTTTACAGGACGTTGCAGAACCAACTCCAACAACCCTTTGGCTGTTGTGTGGTTTTTCTAGGCATTTTACGTCCAGTAGTTTGCCATTTCTTCCTGGGCGGTCGGCTTTCTTGATACCACTGTCGAAACCAACGCAAGGCGCATGGCCCGCAGCTGGGATCGAACCCAGCATCCCAGCATTACGAAGCGTTCGCATCGACTTAACTACATAGCCGACTCATGACATACTACTGAACGTAAAATTAATTAGTAAAACCACAAATCGCCAACAAATGAGAAAGTTGGGTTGCTATGTCTTTTAAATGATATATAAACTACATTTTCAAACATCAATTGAGTAACATTTTATCTTTGCTAGAACATGCCTCCTAAGAGTTGGCGTAATCGCTTTATACGAAGACCTTGACCTACGAAGACTTTGACTTGAAACTTAATTTTTTTTTTTTTTTTAAATGTTGACAATTCAAAATTTGCTTTTTCTTGCTCTGTTGGCGTTTGTGGCTTAGGCGTTGCGAACTCCCTTCGTATTGCCGGGGTGCCGGGTTCGATCCCAGTTGCGGGTATTGCGCCTTGCGTTGGTTTCGACAGTGGTATCGAGAAGCCGACCGTCTAGAAAGCAATGGCAAACTACTGGGTGTAAATTTTATAGAAAAACCACAACTGCTAAAATGCTGTGGTTGGTTCTGCAACGTCCTTTAAATGATACGCAACTTTGTCATAATCGCCTTTATACAACAATAGTGAACCAGACGGTGTTTACATAAATTTGATCCTCTGTTTTTCTTTCTCCTTTTTTAATCAGTGTTTATTAATCTTTTCTTCACTAAGCAGCTTTTACGGGAAATTGCATTTTGTTGTTGTTGTTGTTTGTTTGTTTGTTCGTGCCTGACCGAATTGATTTTGCCGAAAAGATTCAATACTTCTAACAAATTATCTTATCCTCCTCCTTCTTCTTCTTCTTCGCCTCCTCCTCCTCTGTCCCCTTCTTAGATAGCCATTAAACATGCAAACGCAACTTGGGTTTACAGCTAGGCTGCGATTTCTGCATTATTAGGCTCCAAAATTCCGATTTCAGAAAATCCCTAAGCTGGTTTTTATGACATTCTTGTTAAGAAGAAGTAGGGCGTTCTCTTCATCTCTCCCCTCCCATCGCTTGGCGCACCTCTACCCGTTCAAAATATGGCACCGTACCCCACAAAGGCAATTTATAGCGTATTTTATTAGTACCTCCACAGTCCAAGTTTTAAAATAACTGTGTACGGCATCCGTAGAAGAACGTGGGAGTTGTGTAGTTACAAATATTCAATCACTTTGGGGGCACTTATGAAACACCCTTTATAGCCTATATTGTTACATGTCAGGAGGTTGTGGACAATGGCAAAGCAGCCATGAAAAAGAATTAATTCCCTTTATGCGGTTGATACAATAGCACTTAAAGGCGTTCAATAAACTAGGAATGAAAAGATTTGTTTCCGATGGTGGATCAAACATGCAGGCACGTTAATTTGGGGCACACTGTAGAGAATTCTCTTAATCCTCTTGTTCTTAAACTCTTCCATGCAGGCAGACATAGCCAGCTGTTTCTGCAGGTCCCAGTCTCACCAGACGAACCAACCGCCATTATTCTCAGTCTCTCTATTAACCCAATAGTTATTTGTGTATCTTTTACAAGACGCTGCAGAACCAACCCTAGCATTGTTTTAACGGTTGGGTTGATTAGGCAATATTACGAGAGCTATTCTAAAATCAAACTTTGATCGGCTGGTAAAAACTAACCGTTTGCCATAACAACACCGTTCACTGCTTGCATCGTTCAGTAGTCTTTTAGCACCAACCTACAGTCACGTTTATTTTCATGTTCGCGAATCACGAACGAATGAACATGGACACTGTCATCGCCTTTTCTGTCTGCAGTAAAATTCTTTTTGCGATTCGTTGTCTTCAAGCAGAAGGTCAAAATCGCTCAAAAATTCTTAGGAGATTGTGTAACGGGGATAACGTCATGAACTACAATTTTGTGAGGCATTTGTCATATTGCAGGAAATTTAGAGATGGGCGCAAAGGTGCGCATTGTGAGAGTGCACAAGGACGACATTCATGTGTGATAGATGCACTCATTGAAAAAAAGGAACCAAGTCGTAGTGTAAAAGTGCCGTTTTACTATTTCAGATCTTTCTACAAAATGTTCACAATCTTGTAGTACTAGCTGATAGAACTGCTACAAAGATCGGAAATATTTTAGACGCTTATCTGCAACGACTTGGTCGACTTTTGAATCAGCTCAAATATTTTAAAATGGAAGACGTAAAATCAAGGACACAAATAAATTACATCCTTTTGACTTTGCCCTGCGTGCCTGTCATCGTCCTTACATGATGTAACTATTTGGGATTCATCTGTTTGCAACTAATGCGCAGTATCCAGACAGCTTCATTACAGAATCACGTTACTGAGTTCACGGTCTTCATTCTGTTATAAAATAGATAACAAACAAACTACGGCTGGCAGTTTTCCCATAACATAAGATAGTTGTTCTCATTGTCGACTGCAGAAATCCTTGACCTGGCTCTTCTAGATTAATAATATTGCTGAATTTCCGTTTTTCTTGCTGATTTTGGTTGTTATTGTTGTTGTTGTTGTTGTTGTTGTTGTTGTTGTTGTTGTTGTATGTGTGTGGTTTCGTTGTCGGTTTCCGCCTGATCACAAATGATGAAGCAATATTTCAAGGATTTCAGTGTTTTGGTTTAGCAAACAACCGCCAGGTTACTGATTAAAATTCCGAATTTAAGAACATCACATTTTGTAACCAGAACAATATGTGTGTAGTTTATGTTCTTCACTAACTGCCGCTCCCTTGTGGCCATTGTTTGTGTTTTAGTATTAGCTTGACTGCAGTCACCCCTGTTTTCCATCACTTTCTGTTTTCCCTAACATATTTATTTGATTTATAGACAGTGGCTTCATGTGTGCGTATGATTATCTTGTTTACAGGAAGCCAATCTACATTGACGCTTATGGTAGAGCAGTTATCAGAGAGGCTGCAGCTCTGGTTAAGAGGGGTAAGACAGACTAAGAGAAAGAAGAGAGAAGGGGAGAAATATTAAAGAGAGTTAGAGAAAGAAAGAAAGACAAAAAGACGATGAGATGTTAAAAAATAGAAATAAGAGAGAGAGCTAGAGAGAGAGAGAGAGAGAGAGAGAGAGAGAGAGAGAGAGAGAGAGAGAGAGAGCTAAGGAAAAAAATGAAAGATATAAATAGAGAAAACAAATACAAGAGGCAATGCAAGAGAGAGAATGAAAGAAACACACCACGCTGGGGTGGGGTGAGAAACGGAATTAAATAAAGACAGAAATATTTAAGCAGCAAAACAGTAACACAATACCAATTAAAACTTAATAAAAAATATTGAATAACGTAGAACAGTGGAGATCCGTTAAAGACTGCCCAAAATAAGGATTCAAAAAGCAGTTCACAACAACAGCGTCGGTGGATTTGGCGTTGCTAACGCCCTTCGTAATGCCGGAGTGTCAGGTTCGATCGCAGCTGGGGGTGATTTGGCAGCAGAGCGTCAAGCATTGGCTTCGACAGTGGTACCGAGAGCTGACCGTTCAGAATTCAATGGCAAAATACTGCTACTACTACTGTTTACTACGTAAACTTGCCTATGAAAAACCACACACACACAAATGATGGCGTTGGTTTTGCAACGTCCTGTATAGGATACACAGCTAACTTTAAAAAAAAAAACACACACACAGCAACAAAAACAATACTTCCACGCACACATACATACACACACACTCACACTCGCTCACTCTCTCACGTATACTCACTGTAGAGTAAATAATTATCACCTCGATCTGCTTCAGTAAACACACAGTGGCAGGTGGACATTGAAGTTTACCTGGATGTCGACAATGAGGCTGAGGTCAAGGGTCGGCTAGATGCTGCAATCAGGGATTTCAACCTAAGCTTTAGCCAGGATTTATCGTTTTCCAAAACCAAAAACAGCTTCAAGATTAATCTAATCGTCCCAGAAGTAAGTATCTCTTGTTAGATTACTGATAAAACAATAATTTCTCATTTCTGAAAATAAGTGTTTTTTTTTTTTTTATTACTGATAGAACATTGTGTGTTTTTCATTTCTGGAATAAAGTTTTCGTTCTTGGATTACTGATAAAACATTATTTCTTTCTCACTGTCAGTGCTACCCAGGTTAAACGACTTGAAAAGGTACAAAATGAAGCCATTCGCATTATTTTGGGATGTACAAGAGACACATCCTGTGGAGCAATGAGGTATCTACTTGACTTTCCAACTATGAACCAAAGGATCAGGATCTGGAGGGCTCGGGCATACCTTAAAATATGTGCTGATAAGAAACACCCACTGCGTCAAGCGCTATTTAGTGAAAAGGGCGACAGACTGAAGAGGGAAAAATCGTGGCTAGGTCGGGCAGAATATGTTATTAGGCAAATATGCAGCCTAACCGACATCACCCCTGGTGCAGAGTGGATACCTGTGCCTCGTGCGTTTATTTGTACATTTTCCTATGTTGCAACACTCAACAGGCGATGTAGAGAAGGGAATCCTGTTGCTGTTAATGCAGAGGTCAACGCTCTCATCAGTGAAAATTCAGACGAAGCAGATGGACTAATTTACACTGTTGGATCTGTTATACGCCAAAAAAGAAGCGCATGGGCATTCACAGCTGGCAGAACAGCCAAAGAAGCCAACAGCGCCTTCTCCATGACAACCAGCAGCATGACGATGGAGGTAATGGCAGTGACGCAAGCGTTTGCCTTGCTCGAAACACAAAAATACACCCGCGTATGTATACTCAGTGATTCAATGAGTATGATCCGGAGGGTTCAGGCAGGTTTGATGCGAAGACAAAAGATGAAGTTCCAAAAATGAACCATAACACACAAATCAATGTATCGCTAGAGTATTAAGTCAAAGAAAAGCGAAGTTTGAAATTTGAACAAAGGATTAACATCATGGCACACGGGTAGTTACACATAAGTGCTCCGTTTTTCTTCTAACTCCCTCCTTAGTCCGAAGAAGCTCAGCACATTGCACAGGCTCTGTAGCACCGGCGAGGATCCTGAAATACTTTGGGTAGATTTTTAACTCCAAATTTTGCCCGCACAGCGCCGTTAAGTTACTATTTTAGATTACCAACTGCCAAGGGATTTTTTTAAGTGTGCAGCAATGCACACGGGCGTCCAATCTCACTACCCAGAGATCAAGGGGAATTACTAGAAGTCAAAGATACCATGCATCGAGACCACGCAACCCCCCAAAGCAATACACGAATACACATTGAATTTCTACTTCATTCTTGGCTTCAGAAATTGTTTGTGTTCACCCGCTGTAAACTCCTTCGAAACGTTCGAATCTCTTAGGATATTGCTTGAGTCGGCATGTCTCGTTTAGGGGTTACTAACAGTTTCATAGTTCTGACATATCAGGCTTCGAAAGATATCAGCTCCAGTCGTTTATGTAGCAGATCGCTTTACAGGGAAGGTGCATCGATCTATTCAGTAAGCAATGGCAAGCTTTTGACCGTAAAACTTGCTTAGTAAAATCGCAGCCAACAAACATTTGGACTGGATTGCGGCGCATTGTGCAGGATAAACAGCTATTTTCAGGTTAATCCTGGCTACAACAGGTAAGACAAGGTATCGTGGGGCGTAAAGGCGGCGGGTGTGCTATTAACCGTATTACCCATGGAATGACGATTTGTCTATCAAATATTAAGCTAGTCTATTGTGCCCGATGCGAAAAAAAGGCGTGGGGGAGGGTACAATAAAACTAACTGCAGATAGTTTCTACGGTTTCATATTTCTGGTATATGCTACAAAGAAGAAACACTGACATCCTGTTAGTTGCGACCATGATCCGTTATGTGCGACTCGCGTGCTTTAGACATGTCTACTGTTGAAGCTTGTTACGGAGATTTTGTGACAAATTAGTGAATGCGTGCATTGTTGTTGTGATTGTATCATAACCCGTGGGTATTATATGCTAAGGGAGGCTTTAATTGCCGTAACATTCCTGTTGCTATACTATCAATGACAAAGATGGACACTGTCTTCAGAAGACAGAAGGAAAATAGTCATGACAGAAATTAGATGTTAACGTACGATGCTAGGTGTAACGAGGAAAGATAGCCCGGCTCTCTAGCGTAGTTGGCTAAACCGGATTGCGCGGAGACCGGGTGATGAACCCCTTGTGGTCCGGGTTCAATCCCGGGGGTAGGCAGGAAAGCCACATTTTCTCCCAGATTTACGGTATTTACAATGGAATCAAGGCCGAAAGGTTGCGATATCCATAATACCGAGCCTAAGGGTTAACAACTCATGGCTTCTGGATACTAAAAAAAAAAAAAAAAGACAATTAAAAACAAACGAGGAAAGATCGAATTAGGATCGATGATATCAGGAAAAAAGTCAGCACAGAACCAGTACTGAACTTTATAGGTGGACAACAAATCACATGGTCTGGCCATGTAACGCGATTGGCATCAGACAGGGCACCAAAGAGAGCAATCTTATACAGATATACAGAGCCAGGGATCAAGTACACAAAATATGGACCGCTGAAATATCAGAGACACTGATAAGTATTTTATACGTAATGAAAAGAAGGGCCATTCCAGAGATCTCTTTCTGTCCTGACGCCGCGAGGTATTCCAGCACTAGGGAACAGAAGAAGAAGATACCTGTTGCCCCTCGGTATTGAAAAAGCAGACTTATTCTACATCCCCTCGTTACTGTGGTATTGCAAAGGCAGACTTATTCTACATCCCCTCGTTACTGTTGTATTACAAAAGCAGACTTATTCTACATCCCCTCGTTACTGTGGTATTGCAAAAGCAGACTTATTCTACATCCCCTCGTTACTGTTGTATTACAAAAGCAGACTTATTCTACATCCCCTCGTTACTGTTGTATTACAAAAGCAGACTTATTCTACATCCCCTCGTTACTGTTGTATTACAAAAGCAGACTTATTCTAATCCCCTCATTACTGTGGTATTGCAAAAGCAGACTTATTCTACATCCCCTCGTTACTGTTGTATTACAAAAGCAGACTTATTCTACATCCCCTCGTTACTGTGGTATTACAAAAGCAGACTTATTCTACATCCCCTCATTACTGTGGTATTACAAAAGCAGACTTATTCTAATCCCCTCGTTACTGTTGTATTACAAAAGCAGACTTATTTTACATCCCCTCATTACTGTGGTATTGCAAAAGCAGACTTATTCTACATCCCCTCATTACTGTGGTATTGCAAAAGTAGACTTGTTCTACACCCCTCATTACTGTGGTATTGCAAAAGTAGACTTGTTCTACTTCTCATTTGGATTTATATGTTTTCATGAAATTTCTCTACGACCGACCGATTAATCTGGATTGTTTAAATAACCCACAGGACAGGGAAGTGCCTTTGTGGTGGCCAAACGGGTACGGCAATCAGTCATTGTTTGACCTGGAAGTGTTGTTCACCTCTGGAGGAGACACGTCGTCGAAAACGTTAAGGATTGGTTTCCGCACGGTTGAGCTGGTGCAGGTTCCAGTCTCAAATAGGACTGAACACGGTTAGTGACTGTGTGTCTGTGTGAGCAAGCGCGTGAGTGAGTAAGTGAGAGAGTGAGTAAGTGAGGGAGTGAGTGAGTGTGTGAGTGAGTGAGTGAGTGAGTGAGTGAGTGAGTGAGTGAGTGAGTGAGTGAGTGAGTGAGTGAGTGAGTGAGTGAGTGAGTGAGTGAGTGAGTGAGTGAGTGAGTGAGTGAGTGAGTGAGTGAGTGAGTGATAAAGGGGAAGGGAGAGACAGAGAAATCTTCTGGTGCAGATTTTCTAATAGGATTGAATATGAGTAGTCACTGTGTGTGTGTGTGTGTGTGTGTGTGTGTGTGTGTGTGTGTGTGTGGTAAGTGGGTTCAGTAGCCCGGGTGGGTGGGGGAGTGGAGGGGGGCTAATTGTTCAGTTCTCTAACAGGAGTGAACAAGATTAGTGACCGTACCTTGAATTTGTGAATTGTTTAGAGAAAAAGAGGAAGAGAGAGAGAAAGAGAAGGGGAAATAGTAGAGAGATAGGAAGATAGAGGGAGGTCGAGATAGAAAAACTTGGGAAGAGAGGAGAAGAGGGGTAGGAAGATAGAGGAAGATATAGGAAAGGAGAGATATGGAAAGATAAGAAAAGAGAGATAGGAAGACAAAGAAAGAGAGAGACACGAAGACAGGAGTAGAGAGAGAGGAGGCGAGAGAGATGAGCACAGATTAAGATAGAGGAAGAGAGAGTTGTGAAAAGGAAAGAAGATGCTGTTTATTAGCCAATCTTCCTTGATGTTCCGATCTTTTAAGATGTCAGTATTTCTCCTCTTTTTCGTCCATGATATTCTGATAATCTTTTTGTAGCATTTCAGCTCAAAAGCCTCTATTCTCTTTCTTAAGAACTGAAAGATAGTCCACGACTCACATCCGTATGTTGCTACAGGGATGATGTATGCTCTCAAAATTCTAATTTTGGTTTTCTTGCTGGTGCTTAACCATAGACTTTTTAGGCTGTTTAATCTTTGCATTGCTATGGCCATACTCCTTTTAAATTCTGTCAGACAGTCTCCATTGCTTTTTATTATAGAGCCTAGATATTCAAAGTTTGTGACATTTTCAATTTCTTCACCATTTATTGTTATTTTTGGGTGACAGACAGTTTTATCTGTGGACACAACTTACCCTTCAGCGAAGAGTTGTAATGCAGTGGATATTATCACATTGTGGAATGCCTGGAAATGAGAAAGCTGATCAACTGGCAGGAGAAGGTGCGACAAAAGTGCAGCCGGATGTACCAGTCACATACCACCAAAAGAAAAGAATCATTAAATCAATCAGGAAACTACCAGCCCCAGCACAAGACGACTATTTTATTATGGACAGATCAGAACAAGTCATTATCCTCCGCCTCAGAACATGACGCAACCGATTAAGTGACCACATGTGTACAAAATTTAAGATAGGCGTATCAGCCATGTGCACCTGTGGAAAGGTGCCCCAGACAGCAGAGCATGTACTCCAGGACTGCACCGAATTTGACACATTAAGGCAAACCTTTGGGCCAGAAAGAACAACAGTGGAACGTAAACTCTATGGACCACTGAATGAATTAACAACAACAGTGAAATTTAAACAAGAGACAAAATTGCTGATATAGACAACTTATTTCAGGCGAACGAAAGAAGAAGAAGAAGAATCTGTGGACATTATTTTCGTTTTCTTTAAATTCAAGAACAGATTCTGATATTCACTGTGTTTTTGGACGGACAATATTAAATTGTATATTCCCTTTACGCTGTTCGAAAGAAGGACTGTGTCATCTGCGTAGCGGAGTTCCGGAATAGTGTTACCACTGATTTTGAGCGGGTCATAACTGTCACGTCTTGTCATTTTTTACATTTCTCATTACATTTTCTGCGTATATATTGAATAGGTATGGTGACAGAATGTAACCCCAGTCTCACTCTCATTTGCACCTCGGACTAGTCCGATGTCACGCCATCTGCTCTGATGGCTGCTTGTTGTTCTTGATAAAAAATTTAATTTAATTTACCAAATGCACTGGAAACCTTATATATATATATATATATATATATATATATATATATATATATATATATATATATATATATATATATTATATATATATATATATATATATATATATATAAACTCACATTTATATATTATGAATTATTAAAACAAAAAATTGTATAGGGTCTTGACACTAATTCTTTTTGGTCTTACTATAATTTATCCTTCTAGGTTTGAGTTTTTACTACAAGATCAACGGAATTCCCGTTTTTCTAAAGGGAAGTAATTGGATTCCTGCAGACAGCTTCCAGGAGAGGATAACTATAGACACGTTAAGATTTTTGTTAGGGTCAGCAGCGAACGTGAGCATCAACTCACTGCGTGTATGGGGAGGAGGGGTGAGTATACATACAACATCTTATAACTCGTGTTTTTCTTATTCTTTTTTTTAACATACATAACCCTTGACCAGTTTAGGTCGTGAAGGTGTATTGATGGAAGCACTAACGCACTAAACAAGCCATCTTTCTCTGTTTTCCTCATGATGCTTAAGTTCATGATAACTTTGACCTGTCCATTTCTTGATGTTGTCATTCAAGTTTCATCTTTCCCCGCCTCTTCGTTAACTACCCCCTCCCACCCCCCACCGCAATGTTCCTTGAAGTACAGTCTTTGCGATCGAATCAAGTCTCACCAAGTGCCCGAACCAAGGTAGATTTCACCACTGCCAAGAAAGGCTCCTGTTCTATATCAAACGTCAGGTTTTGATGATGCATGTGGTGCAAGTACTTGGCGTGTGCGACTTAGATGCCATTTTTCACCACTCGGATATTCCATCTATCCATTGCTTGCGTGGGCGACCTCTAGGCCTGCCTCTGTTTTGTCTAAGTGAGAGGGCTTTCTATTGCGCGATACGTAATTTCAGTATTGACACAGGTTCGAGCCATTTGACCTCTTGTCTCTTGATGTTGTTAGCACTGGATTCGTTCTAATTTGTTTCCTTATATGGTCTTTTCTGGTCCAGTCTCTTTTTGCTCCATTTAAAATTGGTCGGAGACATGTAATTTCTCGTGTTTCAAGTTTTATTTTCCATTTTGTTGTTAATGCCCGCGATTGGCACTGGTAACACACTGTTGATAAACATGCTGTAAAAAAAAACAGTGTTCTTTTGGTGTCAGTTGTTACATGTGTGTTTTACAGTATTGGTGACATGTATGTATGTACGTATGTATGTATGAATGTAGTACGTACCATACCTATACAGACAGACAGACAGACAGACAGACAGACAGACAGACAGACAGACAGACAGACAGACAGACAGACAGACAGACAGACAGACAGACAGACAGACAGACAGACAGACAGACAGACAGACAGACAGACAGACAGACAGACAGACAGACAGACAGACAGACAGACAGACAGACAGACAGACAGACAGACAGACAGACAGACAGACAGACAGACAGACAGACAGACAGACAGACAGACAGACAGACAGACAGACAGACAGACAGACAGACAGACAGACAGACAGACAGACAGACAGACAGACAGACAGACAGACAGACAGACACTGGAATGTCAACCCTTTTTCTATTTTATCAGGTGTACGAATCTGAAGAGTTCTACAACTTGTGTGATGAGCTTGGCATCATGATCTGGCAGGACCTCATGTTCAGTGTGGCCCTCTACCCAACGTATCCCGAATTTCTGAGCTCTGTGGCTACCGAAGTATCACAACAAGTGAGATTATTTGTTGATTATAATGTTTAAACACGGAGGTAATTCATACGCAATGTCATCCTTTAATTTAAATTATGGTTGTAAATTTTGAACAATAAGTAGAAACAATAATCAACAAATATACGAGGGTAGTTTCTATTCAAGGGGACACTCTTCTTATGCATGGGCTTTCACGGCAAGAAGTAAAGGAAAAGCAAACTAGCTAAGGAAGGTGCAAATAAAGAACAACCTGACGTACCGATCTCTTATCAACAAAAGAAGAGAATAATCAAATCAAGCAGAAAGCAACCAAAAACGGATCAAGACGATTACCATTTTATGGACAGACCAGAGCAAGGTATTATTCAACGCCTTAGAACAGGGCACAATCGACTTCGCTGCCACATGCACACAAAGTTTACAATCAGTAAATCAGCCATATGTACAAGTGAACTGGCACCTGAGACAACAGATCATGTCCTCCAAGACTGTTCTAAATACAACATATCAAGGCAAAGCTTTAGCCAAGAGAAACATCGGTGCAAGTCAAACTTTACGGGTCGCTGAGTGAATTTAAAAAAAAAAAAAAAACAGTGAAGTTCATGCTAGAAACAACATTGCAGATATAGACAATTTTTTTCAAAAGCACGAAAGAAGAAACAGTAGAAAGGAAAAGCCATCAAGAAGACAGTGGGGCCTTTGCATCTACCACCAGCAGTGGTTCCCGCTGTTTCAAACAAAGGCGCTAGAATGGCTGAAAACTCAGGAATTCACCAATACATGCTTTCATAGCGACTCAATGAGCATGCTACAAAAGATCAAGGCGGGGCGTATACCAAAACAGTAGCTCCATCTGACACAGCATGCAGCGTTTCGCAAAATAACCTTCATTTTTCATACTGGTGTGAAAGGCAGTAATAGAGCAGACGCCGTGGCTGGCAGTACGATTGTCAGAAATAGGCCCTCTACTGACAGGAGAGATATCAACAATGCAATACGAGAGACTAAACGCTGTGAGGCTTTCAGCTTCGTAGAAAATTATGTTTTACGTATTAGACTGCATATTCTGGGTCATTTCTAAATGAACCATGAACAATGGACTATTCTTCTTCTTCTTCTTCTTCTTCTTCTTCTTCTTCTTCTTCTTCTTCTTCTTCTTCTTCTTCTTCTTCTTCTTCTTCTTCTTCTTCTTCTTCTTCTTCTTCTTCTTCTTCTTCTCTTCTTCTTCTTCTTCTTCTTCTTCTTCTTCTTTTCTTCTTCTTCTTCTTCTTCTTCTTCTTCTTCTTCTACTACTACTACTACTACTACTACTACTACTACTACTACTACTACTACTACTACTACTACTACTACTACTACTACTACTACTACTACTACTACTACTACTACTACTATTACTACTACTACTACTACTACCACTACTACTACTGCATCTGCTTCTGCTACTACGACTACTACTACTGCTACTGTTTTATTGTTTACCGGCTGTAAATCTGGCTATAAGTTTTTGCTGTTCGTCCACTTCTGGACTTTGGTTTTGATTTAGAACTTGAGGCGTGCGTGCAAGTCCGTTTCACATATGTGACTTTTTATAGGCAGACTGTTGGTTTCTTGTATCTCAGGCAGATGCATTCCAACTTTGAAGGAAACACTTCTAATTAGTCACCTCCGACGGCATGCTTGTTGGGTTGGGTCTATATACTCTAAAACAGAACCAGAACTCACACGCGGAGGGAGGGGGGGGGATGAAACACTTCAACTAAGAGTTATTGAGCCGCCCCCGCCCCCCGGTTCTCTTTTTTAAACTCCTTCCACAATTTTGTTTATGCCAAGGCAACTCTTCGCTGTTGTCATCAGTCATAAAGTTTCAGCTCGGCAACTGACGAGTTCGACTACGTAACTGTCGTCCTTATACGAAAAGGCTAGCTTTTCGATCTCAATGCTATTGCAGGTTCGCCGCCTCAAGTCGCATGCCTCGATCATCGTTTGGGCGGGAAACAACGAGAACGAAAGCGCCTTGAAGCAGAATTGGTTTAGGATTACATCCAATTACAGCCGCTACTACGATGACTACGTGAAATTGTATGTGACCACAATCAAACCTATTGGTGAGTATGGCTGTGCGCCATATTGTTGTTATGTTGTGTCTAACATAATCCCTGTGTGCTTTCCTGGATCCTTTTGTGGGGAAAATAAGAACAGACTCACTGCCTATCCATGTCGTAAGAGTCGACTAGCTAGGAGTTTTCTTAGAAGTCGGAGTGCATCTGCTAGAGAGGCAAGGAACCAAGAGTCTGCATACAAATAAGGCAGACGCGTAAAATGGATGTGCACGCAACGCTCAGGTTCTGGAACATGACTAGAGTCCAGAAGTGGACGAACAACCAGAACTTTGCGCCGGAGTTTGCAACCAGTGAACACGAAGAATAAGAATATGAAACGCAATGATAGCCAAAGGTTTAAGACCATATAAATAAGTATGTGATATTTCCACATATGGTACTGCATCAATTGCTATTTCAAAGCTTACTAATTGAATTACTTCTACGCAATCTTTCTTTGTCAACTGAGACGAGAAAGGGAATTCTTAAGAGCTATGTAGATCCTATCATGATATAGGAAAGTCAATCATGGACAGTTGTCCAACTAGTGGGGAAAAAATATTATGTGGAAGCGACAAAAGATGCGGTTTCTTAAACAAATAAAATCTGGACAGATAAAAGGGGTAATGTGTGTAGGTAAGTTGTACCCCACCAGGACATCACACAAAGCGATAATCACCCAGTGACACAAAGTATCACCATGCGGATGAGGATCACCCGTGGGGAGGTCCCAGAAACCCCGTTCAGCCATTAGGCCATATTTATGGCCCCTGGCAAAAGCCAGGGTGGGTCTTTAAATAACGAAAAATTGCATCCCACATGGAGAAGATGTCTGGAAAGATACGAACTCATTAAGAAAACTTATTTCCCATATTAAAAGAAAATAATCTACGTTTGGTAATGTCATTAGAAGAATAAAACTGGAGTGACGGTGGGAAAGATGGGGGGAGGAAGAGGCAGAGGAAGACCAAGAGAGATTATGATAGAGAAAGTCTGACATCAAGACAAGAAAGATCATCTATGTCAGAAACGATTCAAAGTTCACTAGACAGAAGTTAGTATAGACTTGACTGCCCTCACCAACAGCATGTACTATATGAAGAAAGTGATGAATTATTGAATCTTTAGGTGGGGTGATGCACGAGGCATGAAAGCTGGCGTGAGACTGAGTTTCTTTCAGGCAAACTAGGATGAGAGCGACGCTGAGTGACGTTCAACCTCATCGAGACCGCACAACGAGCAAAAAAACACCTGGCCAACATTCGAATGAGAATCATCCGGGTACAAGTCCCAGAAATCCCCTTCAACCGTTAAGTTATAATGGGATTCTCGACAGCAGCCGGGATGGGCTTTTTAAATAACGACGTTTTTCTCCAGAGAGTGATGATTATCGTAGCTCCTGTGCCAGATCATTATTTCTTACGTCCTTCTTAGGACGTTATTTTTTGTTATTTGAAGCCCCACTCTGGCTTTTGCCAGGGGCCGCAATATAGGCAGGTCATCATTATGGCCAAATGTCTGAACGCGGTTTCTGGGACCTCTCCACGGTGATCCTCATCCGCATGGTGGCACTTTGTGTCATCGGGTGTTTATCGCTTGTGTGATGTCCTGGTGGGGTAAAAAGCCAATCCAATCCAGAGAGTGATATTCTGCAAAAGACAATACATATTTGTTTATTATGTAAATCGTCCCCTTGTGGGATGCAATGTTTCGTTATTCTGCAGCCCCACCTTGGCTGTTGCCGGGGCCGTAATATAACTAACGGTTTTTATAAGGAGTAGAAAATTATAGGGAAGAGAAAAAGTTGGTAAGAAACAACAATTAGTTTATGTTAGCTTTACAAAATCGATCACAATAAGCAAAGGACGTTGCGGCGATTAGCCTTCATCAGCACATAAAGGACAACACAATACACATACACAAATAGGCTCTAACTGTGAAGTGACTACATAGGACTCTAATGTATAGAATAAATGATACTCATCTAGTGTCCCTGGCGAAAAAACTTCGTTCAATGAAAAGACGGTCAGCCTATATACCTCCAACGCGCAGGTGGGGGCAAAAAAAGGGGACGGGTTTGACGCCAGCGTACACTGAGTGTCTAAGAACGGTTGAACGTGGTTTCCGGGACCTCTCCATGGGTGATCCTCCTTCGCATATTGGCACCGGGTGTTTATCGCTCTGTGTGATGTCCTAGTGGGGTACTATTTACTTACCTTATTATGATAAAGAAAATTGGGGGAGGTCGGACGAACTGGTATTTTTTAATTATATGGTGTGTTATACAACTGGGAATTCGCTGCTAACCTAAAACCAGGTAGGTGGTTCAGGTTTTTAATTCCAACAACATTTCCTGGTACTCATTTTAGGTTGCCTCGACCTGTGACCCGGGATCAATTTTACACAATCACACCAAAAAATAAAAAAAAATCTTTTCTCGCTTTGGAAAACAACAACAGGATTTGCAGCATGTGTGTGCATCCTCGGTTTGAATGGGAGGTATATCAATCGATAAATTGATCTGTCAGGAACAGTAATTTTCTGATTACATTTGTAACTGATTAGTGAGGATAATCATCACATAAAAAAAAGCTAATCACTCCCGTTTGGTTTTGATTAACTAAATGTTTTGTGTCTTTGTCGGCTTTTATGATTTAAGGGTTTTGAATACAGTTCCATAATTCCAACATGTAGTGTTTTATTCAATTGCCGTCAATTTTCAGGTTGCAACCGATCTGGGTCGATTTGGACAGTGACACAAGCGTGGACAGGACAGAAAACAAAGATATGCGTAAAATTGTCAGAAAAAAACCAGAAGAGACAAAATAAGCTGTAGTTAGCTGATGATGCCATCTAAAGCACGAGCAACTAACTGTTGCCTTCAATGGAATACTGACATCTCACAGTTCAGGCTGGAGTTACAAAAAAGTACAAAGTAAAGATCCCTTTTCACGCCTTTTGGAGTATCTGATATATGGGAAGAGCGCCCATATTTTTACAGACCATCGGCACTTGGTGGGTAATGTGGTCAGCATTACGCTGGCCGTCTTTACTTCCCCAGGAAAGTCATGCTGGTATCCATTTTAGACTGGGTCGACCTGCGACGCCCCATACCATAATAAAAATCCACGCTACCAGGAGTGGGTTTCGATCGCAGTACGTTAGAATTACAAGTCGGACTCGCAACGCCTTAGGCACGGACGCCGCCCAGGCTGCAGCCCACCCTCTTGTTGTGTGCCCGAGCAACATCAAACTTGTACAGGTTTCTAACTACATTATGCCAGGAGTGCAGGGGCCTGGCCAGATGGTGCTTCAGTATCAGAAGTTTGACAAATGATTTATGTCCATGCATGACCAGGTGACGTGTTTGTCTATACAGATGGCTGCGTGTTCAGAGGCAGAAGAAGTAAATGGAGATCCATAGCGAAAGCAAATGGCGTCGCTTAGTGCAACAAAACCTGGTATATGGTATTACAACATCTAGTCTGAGAATGGAGCTGGTTTGAGAATCAGCTGTAGACACATGTCGTAACTGTAACCGACTCACAGAGCAGAGTGGCACGCATCGCCTCAAAGGTCCTGATGGTTAAGGTCTTTCGGATATTGTCTCCAGATATATCGCTGTGTTGGGAAACGAACAACCAGATACACTGGCTAGCTCTATGCCACTTGGTGATGACTGATGCATGCCAAGCTAGATGTTGTAGGAGTGTTTTGAGAACGAGTGAACAACTCGGGGACACAGACAAATCCTCACGTTCTGAAGAGAATGATGCTGCCAGGAGTGACCAGAAGACTGGTCAACACTCAACACTCAAGGGGAAGGCGAGACGAATATACAATCAGACTATTACTGGTACCATCGGAATGGGAGCTCTGCGCTTGCTGTTGAAGATGGAGATGGTGCGATTATGTGAATGTCCGAGCGCCGTGATGTCAATTCTTAATTTAACATTCAACAACAATATACAGGAAAACGAAATCATGTTTCTTCTTCTTCCTCTTTTTCTTCTTCTTCTTCTTCTTCTTCTTCTTCTTCTTCTTCTTCTTCTTCTTCTTCTTCTTCTTCTTCTTCTTCTTCTTCTTCTTCTTCTTCTTCTTCTTCTTCTTCTTCTTCTGCCTTTCTATCCCCCAGTGGAGCATAGGCCCTCAATTCACGCCGTCCTTCTATCCTTCGCCATTACATGGAGCTCTCCCCCATGTCCTCCCTATCTTTCTTGCTTCAATCTCCAGCTCTCTTCTCCATGTGTTTTTGGCCTTCCTTTATTCCAATGCCCCTGTGGGTTCCAATGCAAAGATATTCTAGTTATGCTGTTCTCCTGTTTTCTCAGTGTGTGCCCTATCCAACGCCAGCGTCTTTTCATCACCTCTTGGTCCACTGGAGCCTGTTTAGTTCTCTCCCAAAGCTCTGCATTAGTTATTCTATCATACCATTTAATTCCCTCTATTCTGCGCAGGCACCAGTTAACGAATGTCTGCAATTTATCATGTTTACCTTGAATGAAATGTGTGCCCATTTCCGGAACCAATCATAGTAATAATGTTATTTACATCTGCAGTCTGTATTCCTTTCTATGACCTCGCCGTTTGTGTCTTCCGATTTGTATTTCCAGTGGAGCAGGAGGACTCAACAAGAGAGTACCTAACGTCAAGCCCTTCGAATGGAAAAGAAACGGAGAAAGAAGGCTATATTGCACAAGATTCATCAAGCCAGCTGTATGGAGACGGTAAGTCAACACAACAATACATGAAAGTGCACCATTTTGTCTGAGAACTTGATTCGCACATATACACATCTAATAAATTCTTTCTTATAGGGCATCATTGTGTAGACAGTTTGTTAAATCTTCTACTAAGCTGCCGTACGTCTAGTACAGTGTTTCCCAAACGGCGCCTTTTTCCAAATAACGTTTTTTCCACGGCGCACTAACCTAAGTAAAAGTACGACTTTTCGTCGTGTATCTTCCAATATTTAGCAGCGCCCCTGTGAAGAGGTCGCTGTTCCCCGGGGCGCCGGGGCGCACAGCTTGGTAATCACCGCTCTAGTAGATTCAACTTCGATGCCACACATTTTTGGCCAGCTTTATGCTAAAGGAGGTCAAACGTGGAGCCTAGCTACATCTAATGAGGGCAAGATCATAACAACAGAGGTGGGGTTATTTACTGAGGCTGACAGACATGACTGAGAGATAGAAGCCAGAGTACAGAAGGCAAATGCTGTCACCTACCAGTTAGCCCCACTGCTTAGACACCCAAATGTCTCCCTTCCAGCAAAACAGCAAATGATTAATAGCATCTTTGTCCCTAATTTATATTAGCAATATCAAACATGGACAATGAATAGGGCACTAGAACAGAAAATAACTACATGTGAAATGTGCTGTCCCCAAAAGGTCACTAACAATACAGGAAGAGACATAGTTATGAATACAAGAATTAGAGAGAAAGTTGGAATAAGACCATATCTGGATTATACTATCAGACAGAGAATGAAATGTTTCGGCCATCTAGTGAGAATGCAGCCAGGCCAAACTGCATATAAGACTTTATACAGCAGAACATCTGGGAGAAAAGCGAGTGTAGCCTAAATCTGCAAAAAACGATGAACAAATCTATCACTCAAACCACCCGAAAAGCGCAAGACCAATACAGAAATACAACCTGGTATCAGTGAGATAGTAAAAGAATAATAATAATAATAATAATAATAATAATAATAATAATAATAATAATAATAATATTATTATTAATAATAATAATAAGAAGAAGAAGAAGAAGAAGAAGAAGAAGAAGAAGAAGAAGAAGAAGAAGAAGAAGAAGAAGAAGAAGAAGAAGAAGAAGAAGAAGAAGAAGAAAAAAAAAGAAGAAGAAGAAGAAGAAAAAGAAGAAGAAGAAGAAGAAGAAGAAGAAGAGAAGAAGAAGAAGAAGAAGAAGAAGGAGAAGATGAATAATGATAATTCTATGGTGATTTTGGTGTTGGGAATGATAATGATGATGTTGATGATGATGTCTAAATATACGTCTCTGGTATTTGAATATTTATTTGTGGAGATAACACATGTATATTGTATCACTTTACACACACACACACACACACACACACACACACACACACACAAACACACACACACATAACCCATGTTTTTAAACGGTCTAATGTTCTGTTTGCCTCTAGTTCACTTTTACGACTACTCGGTCGATCAGTGGAATGCACAGTCTTTCCGGATCCCAAGAATGGCCACCGAGTATGGAGTTCAGGCTTGGTGTAATAACGAAAGTCTCTCTCGTGTTCTGGAACCTTCTGACCTCAGCATGGAGTCCGAAATGGTCAACCACAGGCAGCACCACCCGAATGGTAGGTGTGTGTAAATATGTGTGTGTGTGAGGGTGTGTGTTTTACTAACATCATCACATATGCGTAGAGACAAATGATTAGTCAACATTTAACAAATGAATTCCAGTGAACTGTGACTAAAAAATAACGAAAGTCTCTCTCGTGTTCTGGAACCTTCTGACCTCAGCATGGAGTCCGAAATGGTCAACCACAGGCAGCACCACCCAAATGGTAGGTGTGTGTAAATATATGTGTGTGTGAGGGTGTGTGTTTTACTAACATCATCACATATGCGTAGAGACAAATGTTCGGTCAACATTCAACAAATGAATTCTAGTGAACGGTGACTAAAAAGCTCTTTGAGAAAAAAAAAAGAGAGAATAGGTTAACATAACATAACCTTTGACCCATTAGGGTCGTGGAGGCGTATCAATGGAAGGACTAGCCCATAAAACCCACCATATTTCTCTGTCTTCTGCTTGATGAATCAGTGTATGATAACTTAGTCCTGTCTATTTCTTGATGTACTCTGTATAAAGTGCCTTTAAAAAAAGGTGCCGGTACTCACCATATAAAGAAGTGTGGAAAAAAGGGACGCCCAACAAATGTGCAGGTACAGAATTCTGTTTTAAGCGCCGGGGGGGGGGGGGGGATCTTAGGTCTGACTGCCTTCTGTCACACATTTGGTTTACAAATACACATGATCCTTTGGCCCATTTGGTCTAGCTGTCCGCAGCTGGAGTCGGGCTGAATGATTTGGTCATTCCCAACTGTAAAATAAGGTTACACTTTTTAGAGTATGCACTTTGTTCGTAGAATGTGATCAAGAACAGTTTGAAAATATCTTTACTGCAAGGTCAAGACTACCAGGTTTCTTTCCCCGTGGAGGATTGTTAAAAAAATCGTTTTCGTGCTTAATGGACAATGGTACGAGAGTGGCACCGTGGAAGAGATTGGAGCTTCACTGTGTAATATTCCCAAAGACAACAGTAGTACAATCTTTATTGTGGAGACAGAACTTATGTTAGGTCAAGATACATTGCCAGGATCTTCAAATTGTGTGTGTGTCTGTGAGAGAGAGAGAGAGAGAGAGAGAGAGAGAGAGAGAGAGAGAGAGAGAGAGAGTATATGCGTCTCTGTTGCTAATAGACCCAATTTAGCCAATCATTTTCTGTAGCCTTGTCCAATTGACAGTAATGAATGTAAAAAACAATATGAAATCAACAAACTTCATTCCAACAAAAATTACGGAACGCCGTGATTCCGAAACAAGAAACAAACTACAGCTTTCATTAGAGACAATGATGTCAAGGTGTGATTGCTAACCAGGAAGAAGAACGAACGAACGAAGGAACGAACACACTTTATTTTCATAGGTTCACAAATTGAAGAAGACGAAGCTGTTAGAAAATTGTTCATCATTTTTCTTTTGTTCTGCTTCCGATGCATTGTATGCAGCGTTAGTAGTAAGTAGTAGTAGTAGCAGCAGCAGCAACAGTAATAATTGTAGTAGTAATAGTAGTAGTAGTTAGAGTAGCAGCAGCAGCAATAATAGTTGTAGTAGTAATAGTAGTAATGGTTGTAGTAGCACCAGCAGCAGTAGTAGTAGCCGTAGTAGTAGTAGCAGCAGTAGCAGCAGCAGCAGCAGCAGCAGCAGTAGCAACATTAGTAGGAGTCGTCGTAGTAGTAGTAATAGCAGCAGCAGCAGTATTAGCAGTAGTAATAGCAGCAGCAGCAGTATTAGTAGTAATAGTAGTAGTAGTAGTAGTAGTAGTAGTAGTAGTAGTAGTAGTAGTAGTAGTAGTAGTAGTAGTAGTAGTAGTAGTAGTAGTAGTAGTAGTAGTAGTAGTAGTAGTAGTAGTAGTAACTAACGATTGAAACAAAAACTCTTGTCTATCAGGCTTGTGTTCTCAGCACTCTGCTTTATGGCAGTGAACTTGGTCAACTTATTCGCACCAGTAGAAACGGTTACATAGTTTTCACATGCGATGTCTAAGAAGAATACTTGTCCTTTAGTGACAGGACAAGATCACAAACACTAAGGTATTGAAAGAGCAGGTGTTTATATCAGTCTTCTCAATGCTCATTTTACGAAGGCTCAGGGGGCTGGGTGACACCTGAAGAATGGAGGTTGAAAAAGTCCATATGGACATCCTTGATGGTGTACTAAAGACATGGAGAAGATAGCGAGGCCGGCCTCAACTACGATATAAAGATGTGTGCAAGCGGGACATGAATGATATAGGTACTGAGGTGGACTCGTGGCAACAAAATGCCATAGACCGTGGTGTGTGGAGGGGTCACGTCAGAAAGAGAATATGAATGAAGGAAAAAATTATTGCAAAAAGGATGAGAGCTGAGAGTCTGAGGAGAAACAGACTGAACACAAATGTTGACAACAACGGTCCTGAAATCCCTTGATGTAACTGTGACAGATTTTTCTTAGTCTGAGCGAGTCTTGCTAGTCACATTCGCCATCGCCATGGGCTGTGAGTCACAAGCCTCCTCATAGCGCAGTATAACACTATCGTCTGGAAAGACGGAGACGTGCCAGTCTAAATCAGTAGTAGTAGTGGTTGTAGTAGTAGCAGCAGCAGTAGCAGCAGCAGTAGTAAAAGTCGTAGTAGCAGTAGCAGCAGCAGCAATAAAAATCGTAGTAGTAGTAGTAGTAGTAGTAGTAGTAGTAGTAGTAGTAGTAGTAGTAGTAGTAGTAGTAGTAGTAGTAGTAGTAGTAGTAGTAGTAGTAGTTGTTGTTGTTGTTGTTGTTGTTGTTGTTGTTGTTGTTGTTGTTGTTGCTGTTGCAGCAGCAGCACTAGTAGTAGTTTTTGTTGCGGGAGCAAAAGCAGTAGTTGACTCTCCAAAGCTAGCAGTTTTAAGCAATTAACTCTAAATTAACTCTATATAAACACTATATTGTTGTACTGTTAGTTTCATCTGCATAACTATAATACTGACTTTTGAGTAAGCATAATCAATTATAACAACAGCATTGTAGCAGCAGTATTATTTGTAGAAATACTAGGAGTGTTAGGAGAAGCAGAGTTTGTAATTGTAGCAGTAAAAGGAGATAGTAAAAGTGGCTTAAGCTTTTTTCTTCTTTTGGTTTGTTGTTGTCGCATTTAGGCCAACACTATTTCTGTTTTTCTGGGTTGTAAGTGTGATATACAGTAAAATTTCAATTAATCGTCATTTGTTTAACCACCAGTGTCTGTTATCCGTCATCGTCTTTATACCCCCCCCCCCCTCTTTCCCAACCAAAATACAGACTTATTTTAAAGTAACGTAGGTTTATAGCATTACATTACATCTCTGTTCATTGCTACTCTAATACTGAATTTTTTTTTTTTTTTATATCGTTTTCTAAAATTAACAACAAAGTGTAAATATTATTCACCCTTAAAGGATTTTATTTTCATTTTCGAAACCCAGTTGCTGTACACGCGTATTAAAGGATGTCTGCTATCCGCCTACCTATTCCTTATCTCTCACAGCCCTGGTCCGGGCGGTGACGGTTAATTGAAGTTTTACAGTATAGCTTTTATTCTATTTTTGTTAATGGATTTTAAATATATCAGAGACATAAAATACAAATTTGCATAACATCAAGAACTTCTCATGGCAGTGATAAAACGTCGCAAGCTTGGCTCGGGTACGTGGTGAGACGTGATTCGATTGCAAAGAACATTGGGCGGTAGTAGAAGAAGAGGAGGTCAAAGAAGAACCTGGAATGACAACATCGGGAAATGGACAGGACTAAGTTATCAAAAGTGAGAAACAAGTTGAACATCACATCGTTCTACTCTTTTTAAAATCATACTTGGTTGATAGTCGTAAACAAGATATAAACAGTGATACGAGTGGAAAAACAATATCAAGAGATTGACGAGTAGCATTTGAGAGAGTATATAACCAAAACGAGAGAGTATACAACCTAAACGAGAGTATACAACCAAAACGAGAGAGTATACAACTAAAACGAGAGAGTATACAACCAAAACGAGAGAGTATACAACCAAAACGAGAAAGTATACAACTAAAACGATAAAGTATACAATTAAAACGAGAGACTATACCGCCCTAACAAGAGACTATACAACCCAAACGAGAAAGTATATCAATGAAACGAGAGTTCACAACTAAAAGGAAAGACAAAAAGTACTGGCGATCCATTCTAGCCAACCTTCACGTAGGAGAAGTCATCTGACGGAAGGAATATTAATTCTGGCTATTTAATATTGTATAATCAGAAAGAGACAATCTACATTCTTTGATCATGATATGAGAAACAGAACACTGAAGTACATCGTGATGACGATGTAAAAGTTGGAGGGGAACAGACGAAGGGGGAAACCGAAACGATAGTTTGTGACAGAACTGAGAGAAAGTACATGAGACATTGTGTATTTCATTCCCCCAAAAATGTATTACTAATTACCCCCCTTTCCGTGGAATCTAGATATTTCTCTAGTTGTCTACATCTCTGTTGACCATATAGCTTATTTGTCTAACATATTTCGAATATCTCTTGACCAGGTAATCAGGAAATGGCTGACGAAGTGAAAGTACATCTGAATTTACCTGGCTCTTCGGATGAGAAATCGAACTTTGTAGACTTTATTTATCTTACACAGGTAAGATCTGGGCAGTGGCGAGGCTAGATCAATTCACATGTGTAATCGTTAGCAGGAAATGATAACACTGAAGAAGGCATCACGTGATATTTTCCTCCTCTTCGCTTCGCTGTTGAGAGTATGTGTGCGCAGCTAACATCGTAGTACTAGTAACTAGTACAGTCCGTTCCAAAAGTCGTGTCCTTAAACTGTAACAAATATCTAGTTATGGATTTTTCCATTGAAGTTAGGATGCTTCTTCCTGAGAGGCGAGGAACCAACAGTCTGCATATAAATATGTCAGATCAAAAAAATGAATGTGCAAGCAGAACTCAAGTTTTGAAACAAGACCAAAGTCAAGAAATGTACGAACAACCAGAACTTTCTGCCGGAGTTTACAGCCGACGAACGCTAAAAAGAGGATGAGATATCATACTTGGACTGCAGAGATGACCCCATAGAGAAGATATACTTGGACTGCAGAGATAACTCCATAGAGAAGATATCATACTTGGACTGCAGAGATTACTTCATAGAGAAGATATCATACTTGGACTGCAGAGATTACTTCATAGAGAAGATATCATACTTGGACTGCAGATATGACTTCATAGAGAAGATATCTTACTTGGACTGCAGAGATGACTTCATAGAGAAGATAGCATACTTGGACTGCAGAGATGACTTCATAGAGAAGATATCATACTTGGACTGCAGAGATGACTAAATAGAGAAGATATCATACTTGGACTGCAGAAATTACTTCATGGAGAAGATATCATACTTGGACTGCAGAGGTGACTTCATAAAGAAGATATCATACTTGGACTGCAGAGATGACTCCATAGAGAAGATATCATACTTGGATTGCAGAGATGACTTCATAGAGAAAATATCATACTTAGACTGCAGAGATGACTCGATAGAGAAGATATCATACTTGGACTGCAGAGATGACTAAACAGAGAAGATATCATACTTGACCTG